CTACTCTGTCTATTGATCTTCATAATGCTAACTAGGAGACACGGGCCCTTCCCACACTCTGCTAACTAGGAGATACGGGCCCTCGCCCACACTCCTCTACTAGCTACTAACGAAATGCTACGGCTATCCCGCAGCCTTACAACTCTTCCCGCTCCGTCTAATTGCTGGATATTTCTACGACGACCCTGTAGTCTTACATCCTGACTAAACTCGCATCCTGCCGAGAAAATCTTCCACCTGGTTCCCAAACTCCCAACTCGCGCGCTTCTCTATCCCAACAGCCACTGGGGCTGCTTTCCTTTCCGACAAAGTTGCAAACTCATCCCGATTGCACTTACTCCTGTTCCTGAACTCTGGGATAGTTCTCCCCCACTTTGATTCGACTAGATCCCTACAACTCCCAGCTTGGGAAGGATTCTCAATTCTCCTCTCCATCTAAAGGGTCGATCTGCTGACATCCAACGCTTACCACTTCTAGCACTCCAACCAACCAATACCAAATCTGAACCACTCTTGAAGACTAACAGAACACTTCCCGAGACCCACTCATACTTGCTACATTGACTGCATCCTCAGAACGTGCTATAAAGGGAAACATCTTCGAACTACTACTCTAACATCCATGGTATATAGATGGCATATAACTCAATCATAAGCAGGAAACATAATATTCTGAAACACACTTACTGACATCGATGCAGTACCATATCAATAAAATCATAAACAGAAGCTGAATTTGAATTACATACCAGCGATCTCTTACGGCTCGATCTTGACTTCCTGCGGGACCATAGGCACTAGATCCTGAACTCTCTCCACCTCCAAAATAGGACAATGGGACTTGAAATGACCTGGCTAGTGACAATGAAAACATATCTGATCCTTCTTACAATCCCAATGTACATGCCCTCTTTCTCCACATTTGAAACACCTAAACTTGTGACAAGCAAACCCATTGGTTCCCCCACACTTGCCACACACCTCAAGATCTCCTTGACTTCCAACACCCAAGTCAGCCGAGTCAGACCTTCCACCTTCTTTCAACCGTCCTGATGTTGGTGTCCACTTCCTTTTCGCTAACTACGCATCTAACCCAATCTCTTGCTCCCGAGTTACCCCGACTACCCCATCAACTGTCTGTACAGTCGTTGTCTGACCCTGAAACCTAGCAGTTACCCTGCCAGTAACACGCTCAATAATGTCAGGTAACTCCTCGCGTACGACTCTCGTAACCTCCACAACGATCCAATCATGTAGTGGACTCTCTTGAAGGCAAGGTGCGCAACCCACCTCCGATCCCTGATGACAAGAGCTGATAACGGGACCCTCCCTGTTGTGGAATCCCAGAGATCCATAAACATTGGATCTCATATGAACCCCTAACTGCCCCGTAGCGATCTCGGCCCGGAAGGCCTCGAGGCGGCTATCCAAAAGCTCTAAAATCCCCTCCTTGACTGTACCGAAGATCAAAGGAGTCTGGTCCAGTGTACTGCGTGTAATCTCGGCTGAAATAAACTCTCGCATTTGCTCCCCGAGCTGCTCGGCTCCTGCACCCGAGCCTGATCCCTCACCTGCACTAGAACTGACCATTGGCCTACCCCGTAGCGTCACCATGCTGCAAGCATGTCATAACTACCATCAGAATACTCCTCACTACTGAGGGATCTCACGCACTCACTACAAGTTCCCTGGTCTTATGTCAGCCCTTCTTGAATCGAGTACGGATCCTATGCTTTCAGTAGTACGGGCCCATACTACCTTCCACATCTATCCGTACTTTCCTCAAGAGTTGCCTCAACTCCACCAAGTCCCTTTCACTACTACTAATACTGCTCCCAACACTAATCTCATCCTAGGCTTTCCCTAGGGTATCCTCCAACTCACTCTCTGCCATCAGCTACATAAGAAATTCCTACTATCTCCCCCTAACTAGCTTCGAATACCATTACATATCACTAAGACTAGATAATTCTTCGAATGAGAGGTTCTACCCTACAGCGGTTGGACTCATACAAGAGCTGCGAAATAGGGCTAAACCTAACCTTTTGAAATTATTTAGTCCTCGTAATATGTAACCTACACATTCGTTTACTAGTTAGTTAAAGTTAACTACAACTCCTAAGAGCACAAAGCAAGCAGCATTCAGGCATTGGGAGAACTAACCACATAATCCAATCAAAATGTTCTATTCTCTAATCAGGAATCTATACTAGCATGCAAGTCATAAAGCTCATACACATATAACAGGCACATAACGCATCCTCCTAGATCCTTAGTCCTAATCTAGCATGCAGTTCTAAAGCACAAATCATATCATAAACTTGTATGGGTAATTTGGGAGAACATACTTGAGCTCGGCTGATTGCATGCACCACACCCTTTTCTCTTTTTCCCAAAATTCTTATCTTTTCTCATAGTTCCTGTTTCTTATTCTTTTTCCAAAATTCTTATCTTTTTCGAAGTTCCTTTTTATAAAAACGATTTTAATTGAAAATTTTCATACCAAGTCCTCAGTTTGAGTTCAGACACACCCGAGAGTGTATCCAAATCCCTCAAACCAAGGCTCTGATACCAACTTGTAACATCGCAAAAATCATGACCAAAAATACTGTTTTAAAATCATTAATCAATCATAATCAATTCATACATTAATCCTTATATGAAATCAAGTATCATTTCAAACATATTTATTTTATCAGAGTAAACATCCCAGGCTAAAAACTTCTTGGTGTGTGCCATGCAATCATCCCGAGCTCTTCCCTCCGCTACCGTAAATACCTGAAACCAAAACTGAAAACCGTAAGCACGAAGGTTAGTGAGTTCCCTAACCTACCACATACCACATACATACCTACATACCGGCATAAATTGGGCCCCGCCCAACATCGGACCGAAGTCCAGCATAAATTGGGCCGCGCCCACTGCATCTGGCCCCGCCCGGCATCAGACCGAAGTCCGGAATAACTTGGGACCCACCCACTGCATCAGGCCCCACCCGACATCGGACCGAATTCCAGAATAAACTGAACATAACATAAACATGAACATATAACATAATCACATATAATGCATCGGGCTTGCCCGGCATCGAACCGGAGTTCGGAACATATAACACATATCATAAACATGCATGAATCATGAAGACATCAAGCATACATAACTACTTCTCGGGACCACCCCAGCATCGGACCGAAGTCCGAAACTACTGTAATCTAAACGGGTCGGCATTGTGGCCGTAGACCCGTTCCTACTGGAAGGAAACTCACCTCACACTGCTGAACCCTGCTGATACTCCTTTGGCTGCTGACTGGCAATTCCCGAACTACTGACCCTTCGGCTTCCCGAACTACCAATACCAAACATCACTTAGTCGAATACAATAATCCTTCTTAGGGTAAAATGACCATTCTACCCCTAGTCCAACTTGGTCTATATACGAGGCCCAAAACTAAGGCCCAATACTAGGTAAGCTTCCCAAGCCCACTAGTGGCCCACTAATGGCCCAATTTGGTAAATCGGCCCAATCCCTCTAATGGGCCTTACCCTAAGCCCAAACATCTTCTTGGCCCATATCATCTGACTTCTGCTGTCCCACTAAGGCCCAAAGTCCAAAGCATGGCCCAATCCGAGGCCCAATAATATGAAGCCCAAACTGACAGAGTACGCGGGGCGTACTCCTATGTACGCTAAGCATACTAGCCAAATGGTGTGTATGCTGGGCGTACCTGCATGTACGCTCAACATACTTCCTCTGTTAAGTCACTTTCCCATTAAGTGCTTAATACTCTATTCCAGAAGCTACAAACACAAATCCAAGTCCTTTTGCACGTCTTAAACTATAAAGTCACTGACTTGGTGACTTCACTTGACCCAAACAAGCCCAAACTCCAAAAATGATGTTCCACTTCCATAAAGAGGGCTAGATCTCATGCATGAACCCATTAAGGCATTCAAGATGGATACTTTACTGCTTATGGGACCCTTTTAGCTCTGAGGGTGGCAACCCTAAGCTCACAATCGAGATTTCATCATAAAGGTCCATTCTTGGGACCAAAATGACTCCAAAACCACACTACACTAGATTTAAGCATTCTTAAGTAAAGTTATGAACTTTATACCTCCAAGGAGTCCCAAATGATGACGCTATCCCAGATCTATGAGCTCCAACTTCCCAAGTTCTTCCTTGCCAACTTCTTCTTTTCCTCTTCCAAGCTTACACCACCAAAATGAACTTCTTGAAGTCAAAATCACCCAAGGATGAAGAGATCAGGCGTTCTAGGGTTTCTCTGAGGTTGGAGGACATATACGGAGGCTAGGGTTTGAGCCATTATGTTCATTATATAGTGGCTCACCCTAAAAAATTAGGGTTTCTGGACACTGGACGTACGCTGGGCGTACATCCTGTATGCTGGGTGTACACCAAAAACAACCGCGACCTCATGACCTTATACGTTAGGCGTAACCCAGCCTTACGCTGGGCGTACTCGCGCGCTTACCACCTTGAATGCATGGTCCCTCCTTGCCATTTATTTCCATTAGGGGTCATTTCTTCCAATAACTTGAAAGTGTCATAACTCCTTCATTCCAAGTCTGTTTCCGACGAACTTTATATCCACGAAAAGGTGGCGAGAAGCCCTACGTTTCTAGCAACACACATCGGCCCAAAACCTCTTGAGTAAAAACTCAAGACCGATAAAAGACCAAAACGCCCCTAGCCTTGGCCTCTGAAATCCATAAACGGATACTTTCAGAACAGAGTGTTACACTGATGAGTCAACCTTGAGTTTGGCTAACTTGGACAACACTTATGGGTTCCTCCGATAGTAGTCCCCACTTTTAGGATTGGTAATCTTTTCTTTTTTGAAGGAATTCACTGGAAGCATCGGTCTAAAGTCGTTAAAGGGAGCGATTCATCCATTCCCAAGTCTGACCCTTTGTCCACTGCAGATGTCAGGGGCGAATCTAAAATCAGCCTTGACACAATCGTTATCGATAACCCAATGATTTCTACTAGTCCTACCCCTTTACCATCGGAAAACATTCATCTCACGCTCCCACCAGTTCCCCCAAACCCCTCAAGCAAAGGAACTTCTGGTGCCGCTCCTACCGAGGCTCACAAGCGGAAAGTAAGGCCTTCAGATTCTCCGACTACTAGTGGTATTCCTCCCGGTCTTCTCCTAAGAAAATACATACCTCTCTTTCTTCCTTCAACCGAGACCAAGGGCTTGCTGACGCCATGCTTGACCTTCCACCGACCACTCTTACTTCATCCGGTGAGGCTTTACACTATTTCTTGGTAACTTTAGACCATGCCTTTATTTCTGTTGTTGATTCCATTTCATCCTCCCTTGAGGTTCCTTTACCATCTTCCGAAGTTGCGACCGTTCTGACCCCGATTCAGTCGGACTCCTTGGTTGTTACTATTAAGCAGTTCCTAGTGGTTTGACTACCAAAGCTTATCCTTGCAGGGATAAGCTTGCAAAGCTTCTTTTTCGTCAGAAGCTGTTCAACTCTTTTGCTCCCCAGGTTTCTGTACTGACCTCTACTCTTGTTGTTTCAACCGGCTCCCTTGCCATTACTCCTGTTGCTCCTTCATCTACCGAGGCTCTGTTAAGTCCTACCAACATTATCAACCTAGAATCCTTGATTCCTGACGTGGATGTGATGGATTTTAATTCTACCGAACTTCTACCTTGTACCTCCTTTTCGGTCTTTACCCCATAAAAACAGGTAAGTACTTCTTCTATGCCTCACTTCCTCCCTTCCTTTTTTTGGAATGAGGGAAATAATATTGAGTTGTTAATAGGTGGTACTTTGGCATTCGCTCCGACATCCTTGCCATTTTTGGTGTTAGTGGCCTCTTCGCTGCCACCCTTCCATCGTCCTTTTGGAAGCACTAAGTTTTACAAGCTTCCTACCTTGGGAAACATCACTGATGAAGAGGTGATGGATAAGGCTCGCACCCATATCTTGGAGGGTCTGGACTGGATGAATGAGGTTTTGTTGTTGAGCAAATCTAGGGTTGTTAACACTGCTACATAGTGAATTAAGTTTAAGAAGGCTTTCGAGCTTCTAGAGGACATCCGGGAGCTGGAGAAATCAGGGCTTGTTTTGGAGAGAGACGATCTTGCTATTGAAAATGGCCGTTTACTCCGGGAACTAGATCAATATTCCCTATGTTATGAAGAGCTTCAAAGGGCGAATGTTAAGCTCAAGAACATAATCAGCAAAGAGAGTGCCCATCGTGGTGCCCTAGCCACAAAATTAAAGGAAGCCACCAAAAAGAACTCTAACTTGAGTTTGCTCTGTTCTGAGAAAGAGGCCCAAATTGGGCAGCTTAAGGAAAGCCTTGTCGAGTGTCAGCTTAAACTGAAAGATCAAATAGCCCATTCTGAAAAATTGTAGGCCGAAGCCTCTACTTCTAGGAAAGAATCCCTTTTCCACCAACACCTAGCCGAGCAGAGATCTGAAGAACTTCGTTGTCTTCTAAAGGAGGGAATATCTTCTTCGGTTCGATATTTAATGAAATTATGATTTATTCAGCACGATGAATGTTGTCCTCCACTTTTCTGCCATTAAGCTTGGCATACACCGAGCTTGCCTTGAGATGAAGAGTAAATACTCGGTGGAGCATGATGGAAAAGAAGTTTTGTACTCATATCTAAATACCGAGGAATTGATACTGCATCGTTTCTCCAATCTTACCAATAATGACTATCCTTTCTTCAAGATGGTAGATACTAATAGCATGGATGTGGGTTTACTAAAGAAGCATATGGAAGATCTTGATTCGGCTACCGATGTTGAATGATACGTTTTAGCCCAACGCAACTGGAAAATCCTTATATTCCAACCTTGACTTTATGATTGTACCTCTTTTATATAAACTTAAACTTCTTTATTTTCTACACACCGTTGTTTGAATTATGTGTGCTTAGTTTGTACAAACTCTCAGTGTGTTGAACTTGAATGTATTTCCTTAGCCGTTTTTTAGTGGTCTTCATCTTAGCTAAGTCACAGGGTCGAACCATGCTGTGTCATGATGACCTAACATGACTAGAGCATGGTGTTAGAACTATGGTAGCATGTTTAAGGGTCGAACCATGATGTGCAAGTCATGGTGACCTAACATGGTCGGACTATAGTGTTAGAACCATGGTTGTATGTTAAAGGGTCGAACCATGATGTGAAAGTCATGGTGACCTAATGTGACCAGACTATGTTGTTAGAACCATGGTGGCCCGAAGTCTAATACATTACAAAGAGGTTTATTTCATTGAAAATAACTTCATTCATCCTTGAACTTAAATAATTAGATGTCTCCTTTCTTACAAGCTTTTCACATGGGAGAAAATTCAAAAAAGAAAAGCTTATTCTTCAGCTCTTATTAGTCGAGCTAACGCCGCTCTAAGCCCTTTTGATGAATAGCTCAAGGCCAAGAAATGGAAAACATGCACGTTATGCATTTTCCATGTTCTTGGTAATCTCTCCCCCTGCATGTTTTCCAACACATACGATCCATTACGCCTCGCCTCTACCACCTTCTATGGTCCTCCCCAATTTAGGATGAGAATTCCAAAAAACTATTGTCTACTTGTCTCGTTCTTCCAGAGTACCAGGTCACCAACCTTGCACACCCTTCTTTTCGCCTGTTTATTGAGATACCCTGGTTTTTCACGTCTCTCTTCAAGCAAATCCAAGTCACCAACCTTGCACACCCTTCTTCCGGAGTACCCTGGTTTTTTACGTCTCTCGTTGCAGAGTCCCAGGTCACCAACCTTGCACACCCTTCTTCCGGAGTACCAAGTCACCTGTCGTATGGCCGGATTTTTACGTCTCTCTTCAAGCAAATCCAAGTGCTCTCCCTGGTTGGTGGAATTTGTTTCGGGATTCGTCTGCGTGGTTCGGATGGTTACTTTGATGGGTATTATTGCCTCTATTCCGTACACCAAACTGAAGGGTGTTTCCTTTGTTGGGGTTCAGATGATAGTTCGATAAGACCACAATTGTAACATCCCAAAATTCAAGACCAAAAATTTCATTTTGAATTGAATTATTATAAAACCAATAGTATAAAAACATCCATATTGTCATCCCATATCCAAAACCAGTATCTCAATAATCAAAACGTGTCATAATGAAACAATATCAGAGTATAATCCCAAAGATCTCATGTGCGGAAAACAAAGTGTGATGCGCTGTGATCATGCCGACTCATTTCCTTTAGAAGAAGAAGTACCTGAAACCAAAACTGAAAACCATAAGCACGAAGCTTAGTGAGTTCCCTCATCATACCACATACCATACAATACTATCTAACATGTCCGGGTACTAGCCTACCCATTCGGTCTCTTTCAACCGGTAACTTGCCTAGCATATCAGGGTGCTGACCTACCCCTTCAGTCTCTTTCAATCGGTAACTCGCCTAACATTTCAGGGTGCTGGCCTACCCCTTCAGTCCTTTCGAACGGTACCTTGCCTAGCATATCAGGGTGCTGCCCTACCCCTTCGGTCCTTTCGACTGGTACCAGGACTATTTCACCCCTACCTCTACCATATAATATCCTAGTACATAAACACATAAGTCAAATAATGTCTAGCATATCAGGGTGCTGACCTACCCCTTCAGTGCTTTCGATCGGTACTGGGGCCTATCCTGCCCGTCCTACCACTATCACATAATCTCATAGCATACTAGCACATAAAGCATAACAGATAGTGGCATACCAGATAATTATCTGAAAGAAAATCATCTCTATATAACACTGTGACATGCCCATTTTCACGACCAGAAAAGACTGATTTCGCTTATGTTTTATAATAAAATCAGAGTAACCTTTTAACGAAAAGTGTTGCGAAATTTGTTCCAAAGAAATGTATTTTCACTATATTACAAAATTTGGGATGTCATCATCAATACAGATCAAAATCATAAACCAAAAACATCATAGACCACAAAACAAAATTGGCCTCAAAAACATTTTAGGCCTTACAACATTCTATATATTTTCTACTGGCCTATAAATCCATAATCTCTCGTCAAATCATCCAACTATGTGCTTGCCACTACCTGTAATACAAGAAACTGAGTGGGTAAGGCGTGGGAGCCTGGTGAGCATATAGGGTTTTCAACCCACAATAAACAAGTTTATTAATTTCATCAAATCAAAAAAACCCGATTACCCGTTCTCGTTATCCTCACTTTACGTCCCTAAAGCATCTAATAAAAGGGACCTAGCATAAGGATCATCATCGTGGTGGACTCTATTTCTGAAGGGATTCCTCGGCCATAAATGTCCATTAGTCAACCATGAGCGGGATGGAGTACACCGGTGAACACATTGTTCACAAACACCTACAGGTTGCGAGCCTGCTAGCGTTCCATTGGACTTCCTAGAAAATTTTGTGGTCATCATCTATACTCAGTTAGATGACTGGATCATCTTCAACACCAAGGAAAATCCATAACTTCTTCATACGATGTCAAGTTTGGACGTTCTTTTTATGCACGCTCTTGGTTTAACGTATACTATGACTTTCATTCAGATCGCTAAGGCTAAAAAGCACTTTATCGTAAACTCACATTTTACGTCACGCAATGTCGTGCCGGTTCTGTCGCGAAACTTCGACACGTCATAACTTCTTCATTATAACTCGGATTTCGGCGTTCTTTATATCTCTGGAGTCCTTGTCATGACCACTACAACTTTATTCATAGATATCGGGCTCATCTAATGTTTTATTTTTGACGCTTATTTTTATTATATCTTTACAAACAAATATATAATCACATAATTCACATAATATTCCAGTAATTCATCTTTATTACTTTAAATAGGTTACAATGGTTAACCTAGACGATTACATCATCATACTAATGCTTAGCCTAGAAACACGGGCGTTAGAATTCTCTCCCCCTTATGATGATTCCGTCTCGGAATCATGCATCAGCAAACAAATGCGGATAGCGACTCATCATGTCACTCTCCGTTTCCCAGGGGAGATTTGGCCCATTCGTATGTTTCCATCGCAAACACACTAAGTTGACCATCTTGCGTCGCAACTTCTTAGTCTTACGGTCAACAATCGCCTCCGGCTCTTCAATTAGCCTCTTGTTTTCATCTATCCTTAATTCAGAAAGTGGAATTATGTCGGGAAGTTCTCCCATGATCTTCCTCACATAACATACGTGGAAAGTGTTATGAATACCACATAGTTCTTATGGTAGTTCTAGCTTGTAAGCTTGGTTCCCAATCCTCTGAAAAACTTTCAACGGTCCAATGAATCTTGGACTCAACTTTCCTCTTTTCTCGAATCTTATGAGTCCCTTCCATGGTGAGACTTTAAGCAAAACCAAATCCCGAACTTCGAATGTCATCGGTCGTCTTTTCTTGTCAGCATAGATCTTTTGACAATCCTGAGCTGCTAACATCCTTTCCCTAATCACTTTTAGCTTTTCTGCAGTCTGATGGACTATCTTAGGGCCCATAAACTGCTTTTCTCCAGCTTCAAGCCAAAAATATGGCGTACGACACTTCTGTCCGTACAAAGCTTGATAAGGTGCCATCTTGATGCTCGAATGGAAACTATTATTGTAAGGAAATTCTACCAGAGGTAAATGTTTATCCCTGTTACCTTGGAACTCTAGGGTACATGCTCTTAGCATATCTTTAAGTGTTTGAATCATCCTTTCGATCTGACCATCGGTCTGCTGATGGTAAGTTTTACTTAAACACAACTTCGTACAAATTGCTCTTGCAGACTCCTCCTAAACCTTGACGTGAAACGGCTATCACGATCTGATAAAATCGTTAAAGGAACACCATGAAGGCTTACTACCTCCTTCACGTAAGCATTTTCAAGCTTATCCATAGAACATCTTTCATTAGCTGCTATGAAGTGTGCACTTTTTGTAAACTGATCAATGACCACCCAAATCATGTCGTGACCGCTCTTTGTTCTGGGCAGTTTAGTGACAAAATCCATGGTGATGTCTTCCTATTTACCTATGGGTATAGGTAAAGGTTCTAAACTCCCATACGGTTTCTAATGTTGAGCCTTAACTCTCGCACCGTTCACACACTCGGCCACATACTTTGCAACATCGAGCTTCATCGTTGGTCACCAGTAGTAGGGTTTAGATCCCTATACATTTTTGTGCTGCCGGGATGAATTGAGTATATGGTCTTTTGAGCTTCTTCCATCAGAAGATCTCTTATTCCCCCCATCTTAGGTACCCAAATCATATCTTGGAATACCTTCAACCCTTGATTGTTTGTACCGAACACTAATGTTTTGCCCAAATGTTCTTCCTTTCGGTCATTTTTCTCTGAAGCTTCTTCTTGAGCTTTCTTGATGCTTTCCACAGTCGTTGAGACAACTTCAATTTTTAACGCTCTTGGCCTTTTCCTTTCAAGGCTCACTTTCCGACTTAGGGCATCAGCCACAACATTTCCTTTACCAGGGTGGTAAAGTATCTCACAGTCGTAATCCTGAAGTAACTCTAACCAGCGTCGTTGTCTCATGTTTAATTCCTTTTGATTAAAGAGATACTGGAGAATCTTATGATCAGTGAAAAGTTGGCACTTCGTGCCATAAAGATAATGCCTCCATATCTTTAATGTGAATACTACCGCTGCCAACTCTAAATAATGAGTGGGCTAGTTCTTTTCATGTTCTTTCAATTGCCTCGATGCATATGATATCACATTATCGCTTTGGGTCAGAACACACCCTAACCCAACTCCAGATGCATCGCTATAAACTGCGAAGTATTCAACTCCATCGGGTAGAGAAAGAATCAGTGCTTCA